GCCTCAGGCAGCACGAATCTGCTGTCTATGTCCAGGTAGCTGGGCTCTCAGAGACAGGGCAGTTCTGCTCTGTTCGTCTTTCCTCTTATTTACAGTCCTGTCAGATGCCATTATAAATAAGACCTGCAACTTCCTTACCCAGACAGGCGGGGACCACCACTGCCCACAGCCAGCTAGCAGGTGCCATGCTGACAGCGTTCCCCTGCAGGGTGAAAAGTGTTCTTTTCTGATCTGGGTTCTCCTGTGTGCTTGGTGACAACTCTCCTTTCAAAGCAGGAAATGCTGTGACAGGTGGGTGGGGCGGACGATCATGTCTCAATGAGAAAAGTTTTTCTAATACCTTTTGGTCCTTCTTTCAGAAAAGGAGTGAAAATTTTTTTCTGAGTTCTTCTAGTCTAGAACAATAGTAAGGAGGAAACAGAGCTGGCAAATTTACTCTTCATAAAACCTAATCTTGGACAGGGGAGGGCAAGAGTGGGAGAAAGTGATGGATTTCATTCACGACAGTGACAAAGTGTGTGATTTTCCTTTTAAAATAAAAGTGACAAAAGAAATCTAATAAAGTATGGACACTCATTTATGTGTGATAAGAATACACCTAATTAATGTACTCAATTTTTGACATATTTACAATTTCCCCAAATAACCCCAGAATGAGAAAACATGTACAAGCTTGTCATTGAAGGGACACTGACTAAATTCAGAGACAAGTAAAAGCAGAACATGGGGTGTCTAATTGTGCTTACATTTTCCATGGATTAAAAACAAAGACTGTGTTTATGCTACATCAGGAAGCTCCGAAATAACTATTGTAGAAGTTCTCATCAGCACTAAATTGACTCAAAAAATTTAGTGCATGTTAAGAGTTGCTCCGATCATGCTCATTTCATATTGAAGGAATATTTTGAACAAAGAACTCTTAAAAACCCTAGTCTGATTTATTAGAATTTTACATGTTCAGAGGGCGTGAGCGGAATCCTTATGGAATTGTAGAATTGGAGTTTCCCAGGTGGGAGTATATACCATGGCTTTGTTACCTGCATAGTGATGGCAGAGGAGCAGGGTTTTCTGTACCTGAGGTAGGTGGCTGAGTATTCCCGCTCAGAGAGATAAGAAGGGATTTGAAGTTTGGCTCAGCCTAACTAAGGCTGCTCCAATTCCTTGTTCTGCACAGTGTGATGACTGTGGAAGAAGGAGCACCAGAAATTCTTCTACATCCTCTCCATCCTTGTTTCATGATTTGAATTCCTTGATATTAGTTTTGGATCCCTGAGAGTCAGATCCAATAGAAGGATCTGTGTGTACACAGCTTATTGCTGGTGATTCTAGGGAACATTGGTAGGAAGTGAATCAGGGAGAGCTGGAAGCCAACGCAGGTGTGCCATCCAGACAGTTACCACTACAGGCAATTGGACCTTAATCCAGCTGGGTAACTCTGGGACAGGATGGCTCATTCTTTGGAGTCATCCCAAATGACGCATGAAGAAGCTGGAGTCGTCATCTATAGCCTCATTGTCCATCACAGACCAAGGGCTGCTTTGGGGCACTGACTCCTTGGCATTTCTGTCTTGCCCTGCACACCCTCCATGTTGCTCCCAGGGCCAGAAAGTAGTCTGCAGAGCTGCTGGGATTTTCAGGGAGCAGTGTTCAGTGTGTTAAGGTGACTGCCTGGGAATATGGATGGGGCACCACCAGCATCTTTATAGTTTATTAATTACCTTGCTGAGGTCCAGTTGGACTCTGTTAAAACCACTCTTTTTTTTAGCAAAAAACTAAAAAGCAGGAGGGTTAGTGGGAGAGGTTAAATTTGCTGTAGTTGTTTCCCTGGATGTAATACATAGTTATTATCTTCTTCCAATCATTCATTCATGATTCTCTTCACCTCTAGCTAACACCTGTATTGGGCTAGATTTCTTTCCCTGGGAGGTAGCCTCAAGGAGCCCTTCATTCCTGAGACATCTAAGCCCCTAGCTATTCTCTCCTCAGCCCATCCTTGCTACAAGTGCCTGTTTACAGTAATCACTGGCCTGACAATGCTGAAAATCATACCAGGGAATTCTGAGTTGTACACATATTTTCCCTGCTCCTGCTGGATAATAACAACCCCATAGTTTCATGATAGTCAGGATCAATTCTCCCCGCCAGTGCAGTAACTCCTTTCTTAGCCGTGTGATCCTTAAATTACTAGGCAGAGTATGTAACTTTTGGTTTGGTAAAAAACCTTTCTGTTTCCCTAGTAGAAGATGCTCCTCACTTTTTTCCTCAAAGGGAAACAGGATGTCTAGTTCAGCAGAACCTACAGTCATGAGAACAGGATGCATAGGAGTGGGTCATTGAAGTGGGAGTGATGGGAGAGAGTCCCACTTCCACCCCAGGCTCCCCAGCTTGGTGCCTTTGTTATTTTTAACACGGACACAGTCTTATGTTGAAGAATAGCCTTTCGACTTCTCAGGGTGCATACCTAACCTGGTGCTGTAGCTGAGTCCTTAAGTGGTCACTCCAACGTTCTATCTGGCCAGTAGTTTGTGGCTAATGCTTTATGTTTTAGGGTCAGTGTATCCAATGAATATGTGCCCATTGTCACACAATCCTGCTAGTAAGTGGGTCTGTGGGTACAAAGGAATGTGAGATCCTCTGATGATTGTGATAATTAATTAGATACTCTGAGTCCTCAATTCATGTGGCTACATGTTGCCCTATGAGGGGAACACAAACTCCTACCCAGAATATATATTGATAATAAAAATAATTTCTAACATCTCTAGGGTGGAAGTGGTCTAGTGTCATCAACTTGCTAACAAGTGGGTGGTTGGTCTCCTTGTGGGATAATTCCATATTGAAGGCTCATGGACTACTGTGGACAGGAAAGATAATTAACAGATGGAACTAAATTGGTCTTGGGAAGAGAAAATGCATGATTCTGGGCTTATAGAGAACCTTAAGGATGTCCCCATGGCTCATCTATTCAAGGGTATATTCTTCAAGCATTGACATGGACAAGGACAGACACCCTCTGGCTGCCTAAAATCCTCTGGGTATATCATGTTTCCACTTGGTCATATAGCACTTCCTCAGTAGTGGTGCTCTCTTGTGGGTTTTAACATCAGACATGACGGCCAACAGTTTGTTCCTGCAGTCACTGCTCCACTATTCGTGGTCACTCTTAATGTGATTCATCCTCCTCCTGCCCCATCTGCTCAGAATTCTGCCCTTATAAAACAGCAGGATGCTGGGCGCTTTTCAAAAAGATTCACTGTTTTAACCTCTGGTCATACTCCTTGACTTGTTCTCTAGCCAGATGGTTGAATGTTACTCCCTTTTAAGGAGGAACCAGATTTTTTTTAAATTAAATCATAGCTATGTACATTAATGCAATTATGGGGTAAAATGTGCTGGTTTTATATACAACTTGAAATATTTTAATCAAGCTGAGGGACCAGGTTTTTAATCATCTGTGTTCTCTTTTTCACTCTTTCTTTATGAACTTTTACATTTTCAATCAGATTCTGGTATTTGATCTTTTAAGTTAATCTTTTTAGAATATCAAAATATGCATTTTTATTTTTTTTAGAGACAGAGTCTCACTTTATCCCCTCAGTAGAGTGCCGTATCATCACAGCTCATGGCAACCTCCAACTCTTGGGCTTAGGCAATTCTCTTGCCTCAGCCTTCCAAGTATCTGGGACTATAGGTGCCTGCCATAACGCCTGGCTATTTTTTTGTTGTTGTTGTTGCAGTTTGGACAGGGCTGGGTTTGAACCTGCCACCTTCTGTATATGGGGCCGGTGCCCTGCCCACTGAGCCACAGGCGCTACCCAATATGCATTTTTAAATACAGAATTTGATGGTTATACCTTCAATTTTGTACTTTCTGTATCTTTGTAAAAGTCTACGAAAGAGCTCAAAGGCAAGAATTTCACTCTGCTTTTCCTTTGTTCTGTAGTGTTCTCTCTTTTTTGATCCCTGGCCTCAAGTTTTGAACTAGTTTTAACAAAATAAGGCCTTCACACTGAGAAGCAAAACATAATAAAGGGTATTTGAAAGCATCATTCCCCTGCACATGATCTTCAGATTTGGTAATGTTTAACATTACATTATCAAGAGGACCCTCGTATTTCTTTTTTGCTCACAGCAAAGTTAGAGTCAGCATCCCAGGGCCCTTATAAACCCCCCAGCAGGGTTAGGTGCAGCTGCCTGGGGGGCACTGTGGGCTGCTGCACAGAAGAGCAGGGTGGAGTCACAGAGCTGGGACTTCTGGATGAGCAGGGAGAAGTGCTGATCTCCTTTATAAGCCTGGCTGTGGATCCTGCCCTGATCTCCTCCCTAACATTTGATCACATTTGTATCAGGGAGATGAACCTTCCTCAGGGTCCCGCCTAAACCACTGGAGGAAATCAGAAGCGCTGTCTGTGTTGCTGCAGTTCAGTGTGAAGCTGTTGCCTTCCATGACTTTCAGAGAAGGAGAACTCTATCCCACTGAGTGTGCTCTGGAGGAATGAAAGATTTCCATGCACAAACTATTTAGTTTTGTTTTAGAATTTTCCTTATCTATTTTACGTTCCTTGGAGACTCCAGTTTGTTCTTGGGATCCTGTTAGGTTTCAGGGCCAGGGCTGCCCCCACTTTCCCTTGTTGCTTGTGCCTTTTCTCCCCTCTTCACTCCTCCCCACCCCCACCCCACCTCCAGGTCAGCTGCACACACAGGGCATCAGGGAAGCACCAGGGCACTTTACATTCTTCCTCCTTCCTGGAACCTCTACTGATTCAGTTTGGAGGCCTGGAAGTGACCATGTTCAATGGGCCTATTTCACTGTCCTGGATACTTCTGGCTCTTTTGGTTTGGAAGCCCTAGGAGATCTTCATTCTGTTTTCACACCAATCAAAATGTCACTGTCACATTAAACACACTCTTGAATGTCCTTCCTTCTCTGCTCCGTTTACCTTGCTCTGGTTTCCTGCAGTGCCTTTGTCAACGGGAGCACTGTCCCCTTGTGATCTGAACTTTTTATTAGTATTTTTTTCCATTTTCCTCTTAATGGAAAGTAACTCATATTAATTTGAAGCAGTGGTTCTCAACCTTCCTAATGCTGCGAACCTCTAATATAGTTCAAAGGATCACAGTCCACAGATTGAGAACCGTTGATTTAAAGGAAGGTAGAACATAGGAGATAAAAACCAATCAAAAAGGAAGGCAAACAAACATTCTCAATTTTCCGTGGTGACTCTCTGTACATCCTAACACCTGACACTCCCTCCTTCCCTCCCCTCAGCTTTAATGGAAATCTGTGCAGGTCCTTTGCGTGTCTGACACTGTAGGACATTTGAGAATTAGGAACAGGGTGAGAGAGGACCTGATTCTTTCCCTCACCTGGTTCTTTTCCACCCCAGGTTCATAACATTTCTTATTCTGAACAGTTTTCAATTAGGTAAAAGGGTTAGGATTTTTTTTTTTTTTCAGATTCTCTCTAAGGAAAATATAATATCCTCTCCTTACTATGTTTCAACCATAAGAAAGCATCTAGGAAGCAGGGGTGAGAAAATGGATAGAGCAATCCTGGGACTTGATTCTGCCAGAATCCCTGAGAAGCATAAAGGATGCCTCTCAGAAACGTCTGCTTGCTGAACACACTGGCTGGCTGTGCCCACTCTTTTGTGTTTGCCTCAGGGGTGATAATTCTCCTACAGTGGGGCTTAGACTTTCATGCTGAAGTTTCCCCATGGGCTGAGGGAGCTCCTGAGGTATCAAATGAACCCTGGGGTAGGAAGCAGAAGCGTATACTCAGTGTGTGCATCATGTGGGGTGTTATCAGCTTGAGGTGAGCATGAGATCCCCCAGAATTATGCACCACAGCTCCGGCTAACATCAGAGATAGACGTTTAGCTGGACGACAGCACCTGTGATACCGTTTACAGTGCTCTCTGTGCACTGCTCAGAGGTGAGCTTCCCCTGCAGCATTGCCACAGTGTCCCTGAGTCTTCAGGGTTGCGGCTGACTGCAATCTCCTTGAAACACTTAATCCAGGAAGGTTGCGTGACATGAGCTTCAGCTCTTCAGGACTTCCTTGTTGAGGGGTGTCAGTTCTTGGTCACTTTGCCTTTTTTGGCCCTAGTGGTAATAAGTGCCACTTGTTTTTATTGGGCATGAAAACCAGGAGACACCAATGTGAGGCTCATTCTTCCTCATCCTCATTGTGTCATAACAACCTGGTGCTTCATAATAAGCATGACCAATTACCCTCTCATTCTAACTACTCTTTCTTTGCCTGTTGGATCACTGACATAGGAATTCAAAGAGACCTTGGTGGCAGTGACACCTACAGGTTACTGAATCCCCTGATGGAGGCATCTTTCATCTGGGAACTAAGACCTCTAATCCAGCACAGCCTTGTGGAAAGAGAAACACAAATTCTGAAAATGAGTTGCAGGGAGTCTTATAAGAAGACTGTATTTACTTCCATTTCATGGTTTCTAAACTGTTGCCACAGCACCATGTATCAGCCAGTGGTTTAATAAATACTATCACGGTGGAGGGCAGCATTCCAGCCAAGGCTCTGCTGCAATTCCACAGCACAGCCGTTCCCAGGCCATGCCATCATTCTCCTAGGCTCTCTCCCCTAGTGCCAGGGACTAGGTCATCTTTTAGTACATGGTGTGCCCCTGTCTGTCTTCTTTCTGGTTATCACCCCCAGTGTCATACCTGATGTGTCTAAAATGGGTACCTTGTTCTGAGGAGATGCAGTTTTGGATTAGATGGACAACTGAAAGAATAAGGAACAATTGAGCAAATGAGAAAGGCTAAGATTCCTGGAGGCAAATCATAAAGATTCTCTGGACAGAGAAAATGCTTAGCAAGTCTGTACCAAATGCTTAGTTACTATACCATATAAAACTCTGAGGCTCAAATGCAATGGTACCTATAATGGCACTGTGTAAAATTGGAAAGTCACCATTTTTACTGTGATCCTAAGGAGTGAAGCTTGTGGACATCCATCGCTCCTTATTTCTCGTAGTCAAAGAGGAGAAACTTTTATCCCCAAGAGAAGTCGATGATTTTGGACGTCTTACTCCAGCCATACCACCCCGCCTGTTCACAGACACTGAGGTCTGAGGTTTCTGTAAGCCTCTCCCTGCTGCTTGTCTCACTGTGCCTTTCATGAAAGCACAGAAATACACTGCGGCGTCCCCCAGCTGTGAGTCTGAGATCTTGAGACTGAAGGATTTGGCTGCTTTCTGGAAGTTCCCAGAGAACCTGTTCTTTGTTGCATTTTCTTGCTTATAAGCTTCTTGGCGAATGATGAGAATCATCTCCCTGTTGGGAGGCTGTTTATACCAGAACAAATAATAATCACTCTCACTGGTGTCGTATGTGCAGCCAAGGGTCACCGTCTCTGCCTCCTGCACAGACATCTCTGGTTGAGACTGAGTGACTGTCTGGGCTGTGCTGGATCCTGTGGGAAAGAGGAGAGAAAATCCATCATTGATTAAGAACTGCTTTGGGGACACTAGCTCTTTTGCATTGCTGGATTGACCTGCACACCCTCCGCATTGCTCCTACAGCTTCTTCACTGGATTGTCCTGGCAGAGAGAGGGACAGACAGACTCACTAGCTGGCTCCCATCCCCACACCTTTCTTTCCCACTCAAGCCTCAGGCAGCACATATCTGCTGTCTATGTCCAGGTAGCTGGGCTCTCAGAGACAGGACAGTTCTGCTCTTTTCAACTTTCCTCTTAACTTACAGCCCCACTCATGCCATTATAAATAAGGCCTGCACCTTCCTTACCCAGACAGGCGGGGACCACCACTGCCCACAGCCAGCTAGCGGGTACCATGCTGACAGCGTTCCCCTGCAGGGTGAAAAGTGTTCTTTTCTGATCTGGGTTCTCCTCTGTGCTTGGTCACAACTCTCTTTCAAAGCAGGAAATGCTGTGCCAGGTGGGGCGGATGATCATGTCTCAGTGAGGAAAGTTTTTTTT